CAAATTAAACCATTAGACCTGTGCGAAGCCGGGGCTGATCGCTAGTGTAATTTGAAAAGTCGTAGATTTTCAATTAAATGTTCTTATTTACCATGTAGAAGCATTCAGAATACTCACTTGGGATATATGTAGGTGAGAAATTGGAATGTTTCTGAGAGCAGCACATTGTAGCCACGTCTCGAGTAGACCGTCCCCATCGCTTGGCTGAACGGAAAGTAAGCACTGTCGACGAAACCACCGATGTAGAATACAGTCTTTTTGTTTTTGAAATCTGGAAGGAAATAATTGAATTAGAGTGTGCTCTCTCTCTCTCTCTCTCTCTTACTGTGATTCGTATGAGCTTATATGTAGCGCACATTTCTCGATTTTTAGTTGTGCAGCTAAACAGTTGAATTGGCTCCGAAACAATCAAAAATCGCATAACACTTGTGCGATAGTTTAGTCAAAGTTCTTAACATTTTATTATCATTATCCCTTGTCTTTGCACAGTGCTGCACTTCCATACATCTCTCAGCCGTCATATCTTAATTCACCCCTTCAAGCATATCCTCTTTCACACAATCATTTTATCTTTTTGTTTTTCGTATACATTATTTTCTACCAGCATCTTTCAATAATACCTTTACACATGGATAGTCGCAATCGCAACGGCCAGTTACATTTTGTATGGACATACTGGCTTCGGTAGTTAAACTACACAAGTCGATTGCCAGTCCAGTTGCTGAGCGTTACTACCCTACTGTACTGACATAAATGCAATTCCAGTTCATGTTATAAATATCACAATTGCATGAAACAATGTATGTTTTGTGATAGTTTTCATAAAATAGACAGTGGTAGAGCCCGCTTTAACATCTTCGCTCAAATGGCCCGGTTCGCCCCCAGTAATACCACGACCACACAGAAAGCAGGCGTGAAGTGGAAGCTATTCCGCGTTTCGTCTGATGAGTGTGGTGCCGGAGCCCTAATTTTAGTCCCTTTTCCTTTCCACCCTTTTCTAAAGAGGAAAGGATGGAAAAGAAAAGTGGATTTGACGGTGGAGGAGACGCATAGGAAGGGGAAATGTCATCATTATGTGCATCTGCAATTAAGGGTAGGCAGCGCATCTGCAATTGTGGATGATTATGGGCTGCGGTCACTTTCCATTTCGGTGGATTCAGGCCGCTTGCTCATTTGCCACCTTATATTATAAAAAAAAAGATATTCTTTGTTAAATTTAATCCTTACCTACTAATTTATCTTTAGCAAGTGACTTCGCTGCTCCAGTAATTGGATAGTCCGATCTATGAACTTTGCCGTTAATCACTTTATGCACCAGTATCCTTAACATTTGTAATTTCTTTGGACTGATAGTTGCATTCTTTAGAACTCCTGGACCTGTCAAAATTATTTTTATACTAAGAAAATTTTATATGAGAAAGTTTGGATGAATGATGTATGATATATCTCCTAAACGATTAAATTGAAACAGATATAAAACATAAGTCTAGGAATACACATAGACTACTTAACTATACTTAACTGCAACTTTTTTAACTTCACACAGACGAAATCTGGCAAAGACTGGTAGAAAAAAACTATATGTTATCACCCTAAATACATATAAAATATAATATAACATACGATTTCATATAGACGATAAATAAACACTTGTAAATTGGACATCATTTGCTATCTTACTAATATTATAAATGTGAAAGTTTAGATGAAAGGATGGATGGACGGATGTTTGTTAGAGTTTGTAGCCTAAACGGCTGAACGGGTAGAGGATAACCTTGAAGAACACATAGGCTATTTACTTTTGTTTTTTTAATTCCACACGGACGGAGTCACGGTCAAAAGCTAGTATAGAATAATAGAGACTCACAGTTCGGTACCAATCCCGCTGGGTACCCGATATTAGGACTTGGAGTGTACTCATCGCCAGTAACTACACCGAACACCAAAAGAATGAGGATCACATAGATGTAGCCAATCACTTCCTCTCTCGCCATCCTAGAATAATAAAATTTATTTTAATATCTATACTAATATATTAAAGCATAAACGCACACTACTTTGTGGCGTAAGATGTCAGCAACCATAGCAAATTTTAGAAAAATTCTTACTTAAATAAAAAGCCCTACACTAACGACACGCTTTAGGCTATATATTTTCACGCTATTAAACTTAGGGGGTAAATAAATTGGAAAAAACCTTCATGATTGAAAGGGACCATAACCTACAAGCTGCCAATATCTAGGAAGCAGACATTTTATGCGGATGAAGCCGCACTGGAACAGCTAGTCTTCAAATAAAACACTAAGAGCGTGTCCCACCACTGGCTGATAGAGGCTCAGATATTAAAGTGACGTCAATGCACATATTTAACACGACAGATTGTAATCTAAAAATTTACAAGAATTGTGGGACAGGCCCTAAATCTATCATTTTCTTAATATTAGAATTAAATATTTATTATATTTTTTTTTTTTAAATACTATAACAGTACAATTGTAAACTAACTTTTAAATTCTATGAAAAATATTTCTTTCGAATTAAAATTCTTTCCACACATCTCATATACCAACACTCATAGTTTACGTAATATAATTATATGCTCTGCTTATTTCCGATTCAATACGATGCTTGAATATGTAAATGATAGTCGTGATGTGAGAAGACTGTACGGAGAATAATAAGTGTAGAAATAAGATCGTGTTAAATAAAGGTTAAAATAAATTAAATTCAGTTCCTGGGTTCGAATCCCGACAGATATCCATATGTTTTTTGTTTATCATATGTACATTTATCCGACGTTCTTACGGTGAAGGGAAACATCGTGATGCCTGCATATATATTTTTTATATTATTAGTTGGCAAACGAGCAAGCGACCACTGCCACAGACATTCGCAAGAGCGGATGCGTTGCCTACCCTTGATCGACGGAGGAGACGCACATAAAGAGGATACTGCCCCTTTCTATGCGTCTCCCTCCACCTTAAAATCCACATTCTTTTCCTATACTTTACTTATAAAAAAGGGTGGGAAGGACAAGGGACAAAAGTTGGGACTTATGCCGAAGAATATGCGAAGAAATTTAAAGATATGTGTGAAGTTAACCCGTATTAGATAGACGTAGATGACGACCAAACTAGTATTCAAAAAGGCAGATATACGAGTACAGTATGTAATATTCTCTTATATTTTTAACTCGAAGATATTCACGTAAAGGCATAAAACTTAGTAATAAATAACGCCCCGTAAAAGTTTTTTAATTCCAGTCATAAATCAAAAATGCATCCTTTAAAATGCAACTAAGTGTAAAAGCTTTGGGAAACAGCATGTGGAAATTTTACATACATTCTGAAACTTCCATCATAAATAAAACGTGCTTAGTGTTTGCAGATGGGTTTGTTTTGGTATAGTTTTGTTTGAAATTAGAAAATAGTACAAAAGGAAATAAATCAAGAAAACAAAGTTGTATTTTAATCGAAACAAATACCGTTTTATTTTAAAAAATAACGTATTATTTCAATATTAGTTACGTCAGCGACGCCGTCCACGTGTATCTTACTAATATTAGGGGGACCGGAAAGTATTGTCGTTTCTGTGCATATATTTGCTTATCTTTTATTAGCTCATAGTGTATTTCGAAAGTGTACAAAGTATTTTTAAAGTTATTATCACTTGTTTATTTCCAAATAATTTAATATAAAATTGCCAACCAAACACGTTCTGCACCACAACAATGCCAGACAGATCCGGCTTAGAAGTTAATATCAAAAAAGCGACATTACTTTCCGGTCTCCCTATTATTATAAATGCGAAAGGGATGGATGGATGGATGGATGTTTGTTAGAATTTGTAGCCTAAACGGCTGAACAGATCTTGATGAAATTTCGCAAAGATGTAGAGGATAGTCTGGAAGAACACATAAACTACTCACTTGTGTTTTTTTAATTGCACGCAGACGGAGTCAGGCGAAAGCTAGTTAAAAATAAACAATATAAAGTAGCCTAGGTGTTCTTCTAGAGTATACATCAATGGAAGATTTCATTCAGATAATTTCCGTTTAGGCTACAAACTCTAACAAATGTCCGTCCAAAGTTTCGCACTTATAATATTTAAAAAAAAATCATTTACATACTGAATGTAAGAAATGTAATAAAAAAACTATTACCAGCTCATAATCTACTTGATGCACGTCAACTGAAGAATAAAAACATAGTTTTTTTATAACTCACTCATCAATAAGCAATTGTACCTAATTCGTAATAAATTATCTAGTTTTTAATAGTGACGAGAACCGGTCTATTAATTTATTCTGCTAGCTGTACATGACATGCTTTGCGATATCAAAGTCTAAAGTCAGTTCCTTTGGTAACAGGATAATCGCACTTGAGGATGGCCTAAGAGATGTGACACTTTGCTCTCCATAGATCAACGCGTTTAAAGCATTGAGCTATAGATCAACTGTGTAGCTCGCGGCTAACGCGATGCTATAATTGTGAAGGCCGACAAGCCGCGAGCTACCTGGTGATATACAGTTCATAATACGAAACGCAGATAATAAATATACTTGGTACAAATTGAGCTAAGCTGCGAATTAGTTCACTAATCTGCGGTTAACGGTGTGCTGATCTGTAAATCATTAACTGTAGTTGAGAACATGACTACCATGGGTTTTAACGGAAGAAAATCTACATATAAGACTGTTTTTCTATCATTTTTCAAAGATTTCTCGTATGATCTTCGATACACAAATAAAATAATGTAGAAGTTAATAATTCAAACGTTGATTATTATTTTCTTTAAAGACTAGCTATTCACGTGCGGCTTCATCCGCATGGGATTATAAAAAAACTTTAATTTTTATTTACATTTGTCAAATTCTCAATTGAAAACGTCAAAATTACCGTTACCATAATAACCTTGCTTCCTTAATGTTGTCAGCTTGTAGTTTATGGTCCCTTTCCCACATGGAGATATTTTTCCAATTTATTTACCCCCTAAGTTTTATAGCGTGATATTTATAACTTAAGGCTTTTTATTAAAAATAAGAATTCAAAAAGATGCTGTGATTGCTGACATCTTACGCCACAAAGTAGTGTATGTTTCACGCTTTATTATATTAGTATAGGTATAACAACTAATGAAATGGTAATTCATTCAATAACAGTTATTAATACATTAAATTCTATAATACAAATAGCAAATACTAGCTTTGTTTACTCGACCTCCACGTTTAAACGAGTTCCAAACGTAACACAAATATTTATTCAACGGAATTAAGCTAAAAGCAAACCTCGTAAGTACAAATAAATAATGTTTGATGCTCTCTTTTTTTATTAATAATAATAAAAGCATGAATTTATTCGTATAAAGATGGTATTTTTTTATATTATAAGATAACAAACGAGCAAGCGGCCACATGAATCCGCCAAAGTGGCGCAGCGAGCGCTGCCCATAGACATTCGCAATGGCTTAATCGACGGAGGAGGAAACGCACATAAAGAGGATATTTCTTCTTCCTATGCATTTCCTCCACCGTCAAATCCATGTTCCTTTTCCATCCCATCCTTATGAGAAAAAGGGTGGGAAGGAAAGGGACTAAAGTTGGGCCTCCGGCAACAAAGTACGAAAGCGTAAGAAAACAGAAACAAACCTGAGCTAGGTGGAACCGAATGTAAGAGGAACCGCGCACACTGTTCCGTTTATTTTCGCATTATGCTTAAATATATATACTTTTTTAATTATAATAACAGCTCAAGTTATGACATTTGATTGAATGGCGAAACATTTAGTTAATGGCATACTTAATTAAGGCAATTTAGTCATTAAAAGGAACATATCGTCATGGTGAAGACTTCGTGGAAATATATTAATTGCTATATCTACTTCAAATTATCCGCTTTACGGGTGAAAAGACGGTTTTAACAATTTTTAACTACAATTAGGTATCTTTACAAAATAAAAAAAAAGACCTGGTAAACCTACTTTTAAATCTATATTCAATTTCTCGGTCTTATTCGGACAATCGACTATCGCATAATGTTTTTTTTACAACAAATTGTCGATTGTTTCGCAGCCAATTCAACTGTTTAGTTGCACAACTAAAAATCGAGTAGTATGCTCTCCATATAAGCTCATAGTAATAAAATCTAGACTAAACAGTGCAGTTTTGTCAAAGTTGAGTACGCGCTCATAAAAAAATAAAGAAATTGGCAAGTTCAGGAGCTACGTTAACGAACCAGGATCTATCACGAATATTCCTGAGAACCTCTACGTAACGTCATCGGCTATATTTGTATTAGAATTTTGTATAATATTTACGTAGATTCCGAATGTAGGAAGCGATAAAGTAAATATATTGTAAATTATTATAATCTAGCCGTGGTCCGTATTTTAATTATAACATAAAATAATCTTTTATTGTCTACCAGCTGTTTCCCGCGACTTGGTCCACACAACATTAAGATAAAAAGTAGCCTATAATGTGCCTGTCAGGTACCCTTCAGTGAAAGCTCGGACGAAATCAGCCCAGCCGGAGATTACCCGGAACAAGTGCTGCTTGCGGACAGACAGACAGACAAAAATTTTTTTAAGTGCTTTTTTTCGTTATACGAAACTTTTAATATTACAAACAGACACTCTAATTTTATTATATGTATCTAAACAATAAAATATGCAATTCAAATACCGTATCTATTTTAAAAGTCAAGCATTACTTTAATTTTTGCGTTAATATCTTCCTGATAATAGAAATACCGGTAGTTTTTTAAAAGGTAATATATAACTATAAACATGTTTGTCAACATTTTCGTATAAACAAACAGTAAACGACACAAAGTTAATAGTTAAGTTAGCAAACATAATCGATTTGAATACATAAAAGGTCGCAAAATTCAACCTTGGTATTTATATGAATTTTAAAATCTCTGATTAATAATCATTAAATTATGTTTTAATCAGTCATTTCACGTCACAGTTTTTATGATACCTAATTTAGTCAGAACGAAGTCTGACCCAACAACTAGTTCAAAAAAAAAACGGAATTAGCAAATTTTGTAGTCTAAACTGCCGAACGAATCTCGATACAATTTGGATAGATGTAGAGGATAGTCTGGAAGAACACATAGGCTACTTAATTTTGTTTTTATTTTATTCCACGCGGACGGAATCGCGGACTAAACACTAGTATTTTTAAAATGCCAAAGAAGATTTCCTCTTAAAAAAAATAACAAAATAAACAACTTAGTGGAATAATTTTCTAAGCTATTGCATCTTTTTAGATCATTTTATAGCTAAAAAAAAACCTGTTCCATAACTTGTAAAAGTAGATCTGAGGACATAGGACGAAACATTTAAGAGATTGTGTGGTCACCGATTTCAACACTCATATCGCCCCCTATCAGGATAAAAGTGACTTAGAAATTTAAGCACATACTTCATTTTGACCATGGAAAATACAATACTGTACTAGTATTTATCTATACTATTATAATAAAGCGTAAACACAAACATCTTTGTTGCCTAAGATGTCAGCAATCACAGCATATTTTTGAATAACTCTTTAATAAAAAGCCCTACACTTACGTCAGGCTTTAGGCGATATATTTTCACGCCATTAAACTTAGGGTTAAATATTTTGATAAAACCCTAATGTGGGAAAGAGAATATAAGTTGCTGTCAACATCAAGGAAGCAAGGTTGTCATGTCATGTTATTTGACATTTGCAATTGATAATTTGACAAATGGAAACAAAAAAATGATTTTTTTATAATTTTATACGCATGAAGTCGCATGGGAACAGCTAGTCTTATGATTATTATAAATGCGAAAGTTTAGATGGATGGATGTTTGTTAACTTGAGCTGATGATGCGAAGGTGAATCAAACATATCTGAGTACGATACAAGTGGATTATAATTAATTTCCCATTTGATCAATCTGAATTAAATATACAAATTTTTACCATTAACAAATGTATAACTAAATATCTTTTGTCAACCTTACTTTACTCTTAATACTTTTTATGTGAATTGATAACTTTTTAATTCTTATGTCATTTTATAAAAATTAAAAATGACGAAATGATGGGGACATAAACCAGAAAGTGTTGAGATTGAATGTGGATGGCTACAAAGGAAGACCGAAGAAAGTATGGATGGATTGTGTGAAAGAAGATATGCTTAAGAAAGGAGTGGATTCAGATATGACGGCTGATAGAGATGTATGGAAGAGCAGCACATACTGTGCCGACCCACCTTAAGGGATAAGGGCAAGTGGATGATGATGATGTCATTTTATAAAAATAACAACACGAGAAACATGAACATAAGATTTCTAACGACCTTTTTTCGACTTAGCTTTGTGCTTCAGATTAGATCTTACTAATATTATAAATGCGAAGGTTTAGATGGATGGATGAATGTTTGTTAGAGTTTGTAAATGGCTGAACGGATCGATAAAATTTGGTGTAGATGTACAAAATAGTATGGAAGAACACATAGGCTACTCACTTTTGTTTTTAATTCCACGCGGACCGAGTCACGGGACTAAAGCTAAGTATATGTTAAAAAACTATGATACAACTATTTCCATAATAAAATTATTTAACTATACCAAAATAATCACAATAATAAACTAATAATTTACTCACGAAACCATTAAACTTCCTTAGTTTGATAAACTTGACACTAATTACTAAACACTTAATAATAATTTACTACCCTGAATTTTAACATTTTTACAAAAAAAAAATAAAACAACTAAATAATTTTAATGACTATAAAAAACAAACAAAACACTAACAAAAACGTCTATTACAAAACGATTCCAAATTTGAATATTTTTAAATCACTTAAAGTCTATTAAGAAAAAAATACAACTGCCAGTATCAAAAATCGATTCGAATAAAACAATATCGATTTACGACGATAAATTATTTACAATCACGTCAATGAGTGTGGTCGTGTTTGCTCCGACTGTCGGTCGATATTGCCAAGTTTAAGGACAAAGATGCACAGACCGTCTGCGAGTAAACCAGAGGTCGACAACATTTTTACATCCGTTAGAAAAAATATATATATATATATATAGGAATTTAATCGATACTTCCCCAGAAGTTACCTTGGAAGGATTTAAAAGGAATAAAAACGGCTTCTACTTAAATACCTTGATCTTTAGAATGGCAAATTACAGGGTTTTAAATTATATTTCGTCTTATCTATAATAATTATTGGCATCACATATTTATCTAACTGGCTTTCCACAGTGACTCTGTTCGCATAGAATTTTAAAAAAGTAAGTATCCTATGTGCTCTCCTACTATTTTTTACATCTGTCTCGAATTTAATCGAAATCCATTCAGCAGTTTAGGCTATAAAGACTAACAAACATCCATCTATCTAAACTTTCATATCTTAATAATATTATATCTGACTTCTTACTAATATTATAAATGTGAAAGTTTAGATGGATGGATGTTTGTTAGAGTTTGTAGCCAAAACCGCTGAACGGATTACGTTAAAATTTAGTATAGAATTAAAGGATAGTCCAGAAGAACACATAGGCTACTCAGTTTATATTTTTTTTT